TTTTTTTTTTTTTTTTTTTTTTTTTTTTTTTTTATTACACTTGTCTACTAACCATATATTCATTTGTCTTTTTAGAATGTAAATTCTATTTGTATCATATGTAAAGAGGTTGTTCTTAGATGGTTGAAATATTGTAAAAATATAAGTTATCAGTTATCAGTCCTATCATTTTTATTTGGAATGGTCATGAGCTGTACTGTTATCATCTTATTAGTCTGTATTATTAGTCAAGTATTCTTGGTGATGACAATAATGATGACACTTGTATAGTGTTCATCTCGTAGAATAATAGGTTGAGCAACAGGTTAAAGTAAAAGCGATTTTGACTGGGAAAAAAAATAGATTAGAATAATGCTAAATGGTGTGAAAGTAGATTAAGATATTTTTCTTGAATGCAGTAAATTTTTTGCAAATTTTCTTAAAATATTTGCTTTTGATACTACTGGGCTTTCGTAATAAACCGTTCCAGATTGCCCTTATCTAATACTTTCACAAAAAAAACTTTTTTTTTTTGCTCGTCCTGAGCAATTTTCTTTTTACCAGTTATCAGTCCTATCATTTTTATTTGGAATGGTTATGTGCTGTACTGTTATCATCTTATTAGTCTGTATCATAGCAGCGTATAGCTGTTGTTAGATGTGCGTACAATCACCAATTTTTGAATCAAAAAAATTTGGATTAAATTGGTAAGGTTTTTTTCAACCGATGAATTAGTCAGCTTTAGTAAACTTTAGTAGCTGTTGTGTACACCAATCTAATATACGGCAATTTTCTACAAAAATATTTAAGTAGTTATATAAATACAAATATTATGTAAAAATATAGCAAAAATTTCAAATTTGTTTCTTGTTGCAACTTAAATATTGCCAACCATTGGAAAATTTCGTTGTTGCTCTTGCTTTATGACTAAGACAAATCTGAAAATTTCCACGTTAAGTATTATCCAGAACATACATATCATATATATATAAGTCTCATATTTCTGGTTCAATACAGACAAAAAAAAAGCCGAAAGCAGAAAACTGGAACAAAAAAAAGAGTGGAAAAAGATGTGGAAATGACTCGTTATTCCGTTTTTGGCCTTTTGTCGTTATCCTACTTTTATCCCACGTCATCTGAGTTCACCCTCTTGTCCGTTTTCCTCATACTGCTTGTCTCCACTTCAGTCTACGGATGTAATGAAGTCCAAAGGTGAAGAAATATAAATTTTTTGCTCAAAATTAAGCATAACCATTTGTAAAGCAAAATTTGTCTGAACATATTTGGATATATGTTGGAACAGCACAAGTAACTAAGCAGGAAAAAAAAAGCACTAGAAGTTTATAGACGTAAATTCTTGGCAGAAAGAAAGACGAAAAAAAAACAAAACTTATATCCGTTAACCACTTAAATAAACAGATTTTTTACGACTAAGATTTACTAATAGCTTTTTTGCGGTGAAACAAATTTTTTCTCTTTTTTTTTTCTATTTAATACAAATGAGAGAAAAAAAATAAGAAAAGTGTAATTGTTATTTTTTGTTGCTGTTGTTGTCGTTGTTGTTGTTGTTTTTGAAATCTAAGAACAAATTTGTTGATTTATATGAACTATAAATTTTTTTAAACGATAAATTGTATTTTTAAAAATTTGGCTTACAAAAAGCAGTAATACTAATAGCTAAATAATCAACAATAAAACTGATAGCGACAACGACAACAAAAATAAAATTTTATACAATAATGACATCAAAAATCGTTCGTTCATCGTTGTCAGCTGCGTCGTCGTCGTCATCATCACCAACATCATCGTATGCATCGACATCAACCGTGAAATTGATTTGTTTGCCATTCTGTAGAACCTGCAAACTTTATGTTGATTTTAGTCCTTTTCGTTCTTGTTTGTTGAGTAGTCGAAGAAAACAAAGTACCGATTTTAATATTTTAGCAGTGCTGTTTGTTGGGTATAAGGAGAAGAATTATGCGAGTGCAAACCATACCAATATGCAACTGGTACAACCGTCGTTCCTTCTGCTAGCTGCTTTTCTCTGTATCGTTGAAACTGTCCACCACCGAAGTGTCCACAGCGCTTCCGGTGACGATCGTAACGCATCTGCAAGAATTCCGCATCATCGTTTGTACAAAATCAGGTAGTTCTTTTTAGTCATCTTTTTTTTCTGAAAAAAGATTACTTCTTTTTTGCTGTTGCGAGAAGGAAAGGGTTGAACAAATATAGATAAAGAAGAAGAAGAAGAAAAGGGGTTAGTGAGGTAACTGTTGGTATAAATACTTCGTATTTGTGCCACTGAAACATTTAGTTTATACTCCTTTAACTGGATAAAAAATTTGTAGCTAATGAAAAGATTTATGGGTTCAAATTAGACAATGAATTTATAATTTTCTATTAGGATTAAAGTGTATTCGTTTTGTGCATATGTAAGGGTAGATAAGTGTTTCGAAATTATTAATCTAAAGACAAGTGTCTTATCTGCTGTTCAGATAGTGTTATTCCTCAACAATTAGTTCAGTCCTTTATCCGTTAATAACTTTTTTTTGTCAATCTGATATCTAAGAAATAAAACAAAACTTTTGCAAATACAACAAATTCCAGAATTTTTTGCTTATTATTCAATCAATAGAAGATAAAGCTCTTATCCTTGTAACTTTTAGAGTACGATCAACACAACCATCTAAAGTCAGGTTAGTGAATCTTTTTGTTATTTGCAATTAATTGCTGTACCGCTTGACAGATGATCGAAATGTAAAAGTCGAATTTATCAACTAAGGTTTATTGAAGGATTTTGCCGCGGTTTAGCCAAACAGAACCTATCAATCAGAGTTAAAAGCAAAATGTCTCTTTATACCACCTCAAAATTTTATGCTTATGTCTCAGATAATTTCTGAGTTTGTTGTAACATTTAAAGTAGAAAAAAAAAAGCAGGGTACGGAAGCAGCTTTAAATTAAGTTTTGGTTTCAGTTTCAATTCATAACAATGTCACTATATTAGTTTGGGAAAAAATGGTTGGTCTTTTTGTTCTTCCTTAGTTAAGCAGTATCTATCAAAATTTAGGCTATGCAGATGCAAATTTTTGAGGCAATTTTTTACTTTCTTTTTTTGTATCTTCATTAAATTTCTCTTTTATTTTTGTTGTATAATCAACGACTTTATTCAAATTTTAGTTACATTATGC